TGAGTACTTGATGGAATTTTCTAAGGAAATGGCCAGCGAAGTCAAGTCTGAGATCAGGTGTATGGTGAATTCCTTTGACGGACTGCACAGACAGTCTCCGGATGCTTCGGCTTCTGACGTGTCTTCAAATGGCTGTGGCTCTCCGGACAGAGGGAGGATCCTTCCGTCTTTGACGTCGCCTAGAATGTCGAGTGCCAGACGAAGCGGACCGATCGAGATCTCCGGGAAGGTCGGCGAGCTGACGCAGCAGGAGAGCAAGATGTCCAGCGAGTGTTCTTCCGACGAAACGGTGATCTACGTAATGAAACCGCCGGAGAACGAGCAGATGGTTCGCAACCAATCGAAAACCGACGACGAAGAGGTGGTGCCCGACCTGGACGACGACCTGAACGACGACGATACTCACGAACGCGGGGGTTTGGAGATCGGCGATGCGCAAAAGGTTCTTCCTAAGATCTATTCCGCGGTAAACTCGGTCAGTTCTCAAGACAGCGGGATTAATCTATCCTTCCACGAAAGCGACAAGTCCTTGGACTCGGTGGACTTGAAGCGAAGCAGCAGCGCCGAGTCCAATTCCACCAACAGCTACGGTCGCAAGCCGAGAGCAGCTTCGATGACCTCTCTGTCCAACAAATCGGGCTGCAAGCAACAGGTTCGACAGAACGACGACTTCTCAGAGGACGAGGAGTGCACTGGCGATCTGAAGGAAGAGGAAGATGGCGAACAAGCGGCCGCGTTCGAATCTAAAGACGGGAAACCGGAAGGGATCCGACCTCAGTGGCACTGTCCGCCCAAGAGCATTTGGAAACCGGCTGTGGAGGCTATGCAGGAGTTCGAGATGATTCGAGACAACGACAGAGTGTTGGTTTGTCTGTCGCCTAAAGGCAAAGGTTCCTTGTCCTTGTTGCACACTCTGCATCAGTACAGATTTTACGTCAGATCGAAGGGTATAGACTTTGAGATCGGAGCTGCTACCGTCGACACGAACAGATTCGATCCGCTGAAGCTGATGAGCTACCTGAAGGCTCTGGACGTACCTTACTTCTACGAGGAACAAAGCGTCGAAGAAAAGTGCAACAACGGGGATAATCAACCGGAAGAAGCGTTGGACGCGAACGGAGCGTGCAGCTTCTGCGATCGTACCACCAGGGCGCAATTGTACTCGATCGCCAAGCGACACAATTACAACGTACTGGCTCTGGGCCAGCATTTAGACGACCTCACCGAGGGTTTCCTCGTCTCGGTGTTCCACGGTGGCAAGCTGAAAACCATGAAGGCTCACTACTACATACGCCGACAAGATCTCAGGGTCATCCGACCGCTCGTATACGTTAGGGAAAAAGCATTGAGGCAATTTACCGAGACCAAGAAGCTGTTGGCTGCGCGGGAAACCGGGTCAAGTGACCTTCCCGAGGTAAGCATCGTTATTTATATCTTTAATTGTTACCCATAGCCTAGTTACGCGCGTTTAATTAGTTCCGATCAATAATTCTCACGCGTTTCTCTCAAAGGCATCGCTCTTGACCCGGCCCAATTAAACCTTCTACCTCGATTCCGTTACAGAAGCAACGACAAAGCAAGGATTTGATTCTTCAACAAGAACGCACGTATCCGCGATTCTACTCGTCCCTGAGAACAGCCCTGCGACCTTTGATCGACGCTTACGGACCACACGATTTGGACGTCACTTCCAGCGGTGGAAACGATTCGAGCGGATCCAGCGGATCCAGCGGATGCAGCGTGAACATCGGCGGAAATAGTGCGACCGCGTCGAGTAATCATCAGAAAAGACAACGAAGAGTGAAGACGAATTCGACGGTTCAAAGCAAGCCGCAAGAACACGAGGACAACGAAGAAACCGACGAAGAGCCTGTCCTTTGAGGGAGAACCGTCGCGAGATGGGATTCCAAACGTGCTTCGATCTCATCCTCGCATCGCCGTCGAAAATTACCATTGTCCGCGTTCTCTGGAGTTAGAAGAAGGCGTCTCCGATTCGCCAGTGCCGTCACCAACGCGAACGTTCAGGATCCAGACGGGGATTGCTAGAAGATCGATGCTCCGCCATCGATCCCGAGGCTACAGGATTGCGATCAACGAGATCGACCAGTTCGAGGAAACGAACGTGCACGCGTCTGGATGACTTTCAACCGATCGGATCGCAAGTGATATCGCGATGCGATTCCTTTGTCGGAACTACTCTTCTGCCAGTAGCGTATTTTTGACCGTCCTACGCGGTCCACGTGCTTCATGTATAGAGGATGTTCACGGAACTCGTCGCGTCCGTCGAGGCTCTCTTTCATGGATTTTTTCAGATCTAGCGAGGCTTCTTCGCGAATGGTTTGCGATTCTTCGCTAGGAACGTTTTGGTGTCGATTAGAAAAACGGGTTCGTAACAGATACGAACGGATGACGAGTACCTCGACGTACGATTGTCCTCGTATCTCAACGATATAATGCTTCACGAGCTAATTAAAAAAAAAAAAAAAAAAACGTTTGTGTGCGGTTTAAATGTTACTTACCTAAGGACACTTAGCGTTAAATAACACGATGACACTTCGGTTGTACTTTTCCGAGTTCAAGAGCGTCCAATAGCGAAGGAACGTTCGAAAATTAACGATCATGAAGCAGCTGGCTCGGAAGACGCGTTTGTTGGTGTACATCGATCGGTGAACGGGTTAAAACGTGGAGAAAAGTGAACGCACGATTCGATAACCGAATTGGACTCTGAATCAAGTGGAACGATTTGTACGAGTGATCGATTGGGCAATGGAAAGATCGAGGAGAGTGAACGGAGAAGCGCCAAAAAAAGACCTCGTCCGGTCAACGAACCGCAACGCGGTTACGCGCACGAGGGACACCTAATTTTTTATATAATTGCGATTTGATAAATTTCGTGATCGCGTCTCGCCCCGTTGACGATCAGGGTTAGTCGTTTAAGATACCAAATTTTTGTAAATCGTACCCGCTAGATTTCATCTGCGGTTCGGACAGATCTCTTTTTTCGAGCATTCTTTGACGATCGAACGTGCGATTTCGACGTCTTTCAACGGAGGTAAAGAGTTTCGTTCTCGTTCCGAGTCTATAGGACGTTCATTTTTTTTTGCGGTCAAGAAAAAATGTCGCCCTTGACGATTCGCGGACGCGTCTTAATAAAAAATAAAATGAAAAAGGCGCTTCGAGGAGAGTGATAGCGCAGGAGACCAATCGACGATGCCATCATCTATCGATTCGATTCGTACCTTTTCCGCGAGCGTTCCATTTGCACGAATTCTATAAACTGATACATGATCGAGATTTCAATGATCTCGACATATTCTCAGCTGCATGTATGTACTTCGATAGCACGCACAGAAAAAAAAAAAAAAACTAATGTGACCAGATGGTCATCGTCTTAATCGTAAATACGTGTACATAAAGTAATTGCTTCTCCGACGAGTTAACCGAAGGAACACGGTGTGTATCGTTAAACGAAAGCTTTCTCCTCTTAACTGGTAATAATACAACGCATCTTATACATATATATATATATATCATTGTGTGTCGTCTTGCTCGAGATCATTGGCGGATCATATTTTTCGACTATTGTATAGCCTCTTTCTCGTCGATGAACGTCGAGCGAGCGAGCGAGCGAGCGGATTTCACGCGACATTTCTTTCGACGATTCTGCACTTTTCTGTCCGACGATGAGGAAACACGCGTCCGCTCCTCGTCGAACTGCGAACGGACTGGGATTACGCGCGCGATTTCATATTCCAGGTAACGAGATTTTGAAAAACCAGTTAATGGTAAAAGCTGGATGGCGTAGAAAAACTTAATAAAGAAAAACGAACATTGTAAGACAACCCCGGTCGTTCGCGATCGAACGTTCGCGTCCGTGTGACAGTCGATAGATACTTCGGCTCGATACTTAAATGTCTTACGTTTTCAATTTGTTGTTTCTTTTCGGATTTTTCTTCTTTTTTTTTTATGTTGGACAAGTTGTACGCTGGCTATCATTAGAATTATAAACAGAAGGACGCTAAAGCGGTATTTACGTTAGACAGTTTTTGATCAGTTGACTAAAGTCTGAATTTATTCTATTAGGGGTAAGATTCATGCTACGTCTTCGTTGTTTGATATTTTTATTGTTTAAGATTGTTAATGTGCTGTGTTAAGAGATTTTTATATATAATTGCAATGAATTTGTTAAGAGAGACGGTAAAAATAATTTTTTGAAGAGAGTGGATGTTGACGTAGAGATATGTAAAAATACTTTTTACACGAGTGATTTTTGTTGACTGACCAAACGTTTCATTAATGTAAACGCCGCTTTAGGTTCTGTACGTAGGCCGCATGTAAAACACACACACACAGACAGACAGACACAGACACAGAGACACATTCGCAGCGTAGATCATTCTGTACGCGTTTCTCGTGTTGTACTGAATTTTTCTAAAACATCCGTTCGTCGCCGTCTATGCGGACGAAAGTTTTAGCAACAATAACATCATTAAGAAGAATATCAGGATACATCGCGCGAAACAGTGAATGGAAGTCTTAATCTGTATGGATTTTCGCGGATAGATATTACCATATTTTCCGAGAGTTACGAGAGGACGTTGTTACTGTAAAGATATGTAAGTTTATTTATCGCTAATAAAACTGAACGTTTAAGAAAATTGCAGGGTTTCTACGGTGATCCGGTACCATCGACCGAATTATTCGGCCTCCTTTCATTTCGTGTTTATTTTTTTTTTTTTTTCAGCAGATTGAACCAATGGAGATGGGATGAAATTGGATTTTGTAAACAAATTTAAAATTAAATTGAAACTTTAAATCATGCGAAGACCCAAGGGTTAAACGAAACGCTACGTGAATTAGATTAGAGTCCCTGGAGTCGATTAGAAGGAAGAAGCTAATCATTCGTTCCTCTTTTTGTGATCTTTCTTTTTTTTTTTCCTTTTCAGTAAAATAACATCGAACGCCAGTGTATAGAGAGGGAAGCAGCAAAAACATTTACATACCACCAATGGAACCTTTTTTGTTTATTAGATTTATTAGACCCTTTAAAATATTTGAAACAGCGTGCGGCTCTTGTTATTTACGGCGTAACAGTGAAATATCGTTTACAAGGTACACAGTACGAAGCTCAAGGAGAGCGAAGCGATCAAGATCGATTTTTAAAATAGTCGTTCAACCTTCCTCACGTTCTTTATGCCCCGTCTTTTAATCGAATCTCGACGAAATATCTCGAGGAAGACTTGGGGGTACGTTCGAAAGATTTCAATAGTGCCAAGCGCGTGTAAGAATCGCGCCAACGCTTATTTTTTGTTGTCTTCTTTCTCCAAATGGTGGAGAATCTGCTGGTAGTGTTCGATCGATCAATCGTCGTTCGATCGAACGTCGTACGCAGTGCAATCGATCGAGTTTGCTGCGGTGCTGATTGTTTCTTAAGTTACAGTGATTTTTAGGTGTGGAATACAACGTGACTTAGATTAGATTTTGAGAAAGAGGAGTAAAATCGATAAAATCCATATATCTTAAAAGGAGAAACTGATTACGATCCGGTCGCGTTTAGAAAATCGGCAAGCGAATACTAGAAGCACCTGTATAAATAAATACCGTCCTTTCGTATCATTCGACATCGATGTTTTATATAATTTCTTTTCAATTTCGTCGAAGAAAATGAAAATCGTAGATGACCTTTGTATCGCTTACCGATATCTCGCTTTCTGGATCGCGTAATCCATCGAACATGTAGATACTCTTCAGCACAGTTAAAGAAGGAAGTTTAAAGGGCGCACAGCTTGTTGGGATTTTATGTTACACGAGAAACATCTCGTTTCCTTTTCGCTCACGTTACACGCGAATATAGAGTGCAATGATTACTACGACAGACGAAGAATATCCTTTACGTTCAATTTCGATTCGATTACGTTCAAAGTCGGCCAGGAAACGTATACAGCTCGAAGGTAATCTTAAAATGTAACAGGAATCGATCGAAGTAACATAAAATCGCGTCAAGCATAGTATCTGAGGATCTTAGACGGTAGGTGCGATTAGGACTTGTCGAAACGGTCCTCTGACATTGACCAAAATTAAGGAGCGTCACGGGGCCGAGATAACCTCGTTGTCGGAGCTGAGGGTGGCATACCCTCTTGGCACGAAGCGTAACCATCTTGCGCGTCGGCGCCAATTTCGAAATCTTCTCTGCTCAATTGTTTTTCCGTTACGCTTGCGTTATTTTTCTTCTTTCTACGATATTACCCGACAAACGATAAATGGACAGACCCGGATACTGTTTTGCTGAACGTCAACTCGTATTTCGAATCGCGACGCGCAACAAAGTGAATGTCAGAGGGTAAAAGATGAACTTTGCGATTCGCATGGTTTTTTGACTCGTCGTTAATTCGTTCTATCTAACACAGACACGAGAATAGGTAAAACCCTAGTAGCCCGGGGACAGTATTTCTTCTTCGTCGTCCTCCTCGTCGTCGTCGATCCCTGGCTCCCCGAGCGCGTGAACGAATTCTGCAACAATAAATATTTCTTCGTTTGATGAAGGAGTAGGTACATTTCTGTCCATAACACGACGTATAAAAATATTAGAAAATTTAATATTTATATTTTTACCCTTTGGATTGAACTGAAGTTAAGTGAAATGATGATGGAGTCGTTATTTGACATCTGTCATGTATGGTAGGCTTTCAGTGGGATTAAATTTTGTTGAGTGTATTCTCACGAAAATTCATCAAGATGCAACAATATTATAATTATCGTAAAATATGTTCTCTTTTATTTCATTTACGTATTTTTCAATTGCGAAAAGAGCATGATGGAAAAAATAGGTGGACGCTTTTGCGTAAAGCCATCCCCATAGAACCATGGTGATACTGCACACCTCCCGTCGGTACAGCATGGAATTTAAGCGAGAAAGCGGCGAAGAAAAATCGAAAGAACCTTTTTGTCTTCATTCTCGCCTTTTACGGTTACGGTTTCATTCCCGACGAGTTCTTTCGCGTCCGTGAAAAGTCACCCTTGTCCCTTCCTTCGAAATACATTCGTATTCTCACCCCAACATGTTTTTTTTTCCTTCTTCGTCCCTGAGACTTCGATCAATCGTAAGCTCGAAACATACGGAAAGGCACGCAGGCCGAGTATCAGGTACGAAGGAGTTTCTTTATCGGTTCCGTAATCGTATTTTTTCGTGGATTATTAGAAAGAAGTCTGGCAGCTGTGTAGAAAACGTTGAAAGCTTACCGTAGAAATCGATTCGGCCGTCCCCGTCCACGTCCACTTCCTTGATCATATCCTCGACTGAAACACACGGAAAAATCGGCTTACATCTCGTATTTTATCGAGTTTAAAAGGTATCCTTGATAAATCCTCTAACAAACAACGCAGAAAATGATTGCTTTCTATATTTTTACGTTACACTCGCGACTCCAGCTTTGCCCGACGAGTTACAAAGCCGCGGGACAGACCGATGGAAAGTCGAAATTAATATCCCGGCTATTAACGTGCCATTCTACCCGGGGCCACTCATTGATATGGCAAATATTGCATTTGGTCGGATTAAAATCACCTACGAACGATCGTATGCTAATTGACGGGACGAGCACGCGGCAATTTAATTTTTCGTTCAGCTGCTGGTACCAATGTCGGTCTTTTCCGTGAAATCTACCGTGAAACGGTCTCGCGCGATTAATATTCCGCGTCGAGCTGAAAAACACGCTGATAATTGGCCGCGTTATCATTGACACTTGTCACGTGAAAAACTGACAAACGATCGCTCTCCATTTAGAAGGAACGATTCGGTTTCGTCCTGGTTTTTTGGGGAGCATCAGGATCCATAAATAACGAGAATCTGGTAGGATTTATTGATCTTTTACCGAGAAGATAAAAAATTCTAAGCGAAGAAGATCAAAGAGACATCCTAATATTAACAGAATAGTTCAAATAAATTTTGGCCCAGGAACTGGTTATTTCCGCTCAAGTTAATTTAGTATTATTTCGAATCACGATTGCTAGAACTTCAAGAAAACGCTGCAGTATTTCTTAGTCGGAATCGTTTAATATATAATAACCAGGTAATTGAATTCGAGAAACTTTTTATAATCTCCACCAGCTATTTACGATGCTCTCTAAATTACACAATCGTCCGTTTTCGCGAAGAGCATTATTAACCATTACTGTAATCGGTTTCGTACCCTCGCGGCAATTATTAATACGTACACAGAAATACGTGTGCAGCACAAATTGATTCCGGTCAATTAGTAAGCTCATCCCATGACCTGACGGATTATTACGTAGCTCACTATAGATCCTGTTCTAGGTTCAATAGAGAGAACCCCTACAACACACCCCCTCGATCCCTCTTATAGGGATATCTCACGACCTATTAACGATAGCCTGGACGAATTTCCCCTAGATGCTTCCCCGTGGTTCGCGATGAAACTTTCATAGGGTAGACGGCGAGGTTTTTGTTATCGTTTTCGCCAGATTTCGTTACGGTACCGGTTCGTTTCATCGGCTTGACTTCGTTACCACGTTCATCCGGCTCGTATAATCGCAACGTGAGAGGAAAAGCAGCCGCTTCCAGTTGAAAGGATATTTCAAAAAAATTTTTCAAATTGTCCAATCTGGTAAGCTCGATGACTATCTTTCTTCCTTATTTTGCGCTCGAAATTTTACTTTCAAGAAACTAATTGTATATCTCAGCTAAATGTATACATAGTACTATCAGAAATGTTTCATAACTTATCTGCTTCTTTTAACGAAGGTTTGCACTTTTAACGAAGTGCAAATATAAAAAAAATGTAAAAATATCCACGTGTATCTTTGCTCAAGTCCACTCAGCTAACGTGAGGCTTACCTCATTAAGTAATGCCACGCCTTTCGCTCGTTTTTCGTATTTAAAGAATTCTCAACTGTTACAACAAGTTTATCGCGCATTTTCGAAACGCGATGTTAGTTTTAAATTGCAAAGAAGCAGGCAGGATTATCGCCGTGACACGTGACGGTTTCGTAGGGTAATGAGAGGTTCAAATAGACTCCAGCTACTGTTTATTCTGTGAGAATTGGGTTCTCTACGAGTCTTGGTAGAGTTCAGGAAGCTTTTGGCACGAGAACCGGCGGCGAAATCAGTAACGGCGTGTCAAATAAAATTAGAGAGAACGCGTTAGTTAATCCCGTGGGATAACAATGGTTAGAAGAGAGAGGAATCTTATTCCGCTTGGATTAAATAACATTCGCCGTCTTTGCGTTTTCCTAGACGCTGTAATCTCCGGAACAATATTGTGAAATCTACTGGGTCAATTTCCGAAAACGACATATATACGTTCCACAATGTTTATATTCTTCTTTCGATAACCTTTTCCCAAGGGGAAATCTTCTACCAGATTCCCGAACGGAACACTGCAAGTTATGAAAATCTGCGGCATAAAAATAACTCGAGGGATTGCGATCTCGCGAAGCTTGCAACAATTTCATGAAAGTTCTCGCTGGAATTCGAACTGCCGCGCCGCGCCGTTCGATTCTCGTTCTCGGACCTTAACAAACGCGTCGAACGAGTAAAGCTGGGATCGATTTGTCTGATAGACAGGCATGGAATCACTGTCGAGAACAAACTATCTAAGAGTTTCCTGTCTTGTTTCTCTTTCGCAGTGTTAGATTCTTGGATCGGTTTATTTCGCGAATTTGGTCCAAATTAAGATTAATTACCAGCAATTGAAGCTTTCAATAGTTTCTGAAAATTATGACAGTTAAATGATCCTTGGATCGTTCCTTATAAATTTATACAAGTTTTAAGACATTATAAGCCTCAGAAACTCGAATGCAACTATAAATTCTTGCAATTCTACAATGATTCATAATTCATAAGAGATCTCTCTTATCTATTTCTACGAATGCATACTCTGTGCTACTCGTTCAAAAGTTGCTTTTCGTTACAGGAGAGATCTGAAATGATGAAATTTATCTCTCACGAATTCGATATCCTGGGTAACGAGTTTTGTGCCAGGAATTCGTGAGACAACAAATCTCTCCCCTTAAACGAGCCAAGCAAACGATCACTCGTTAAGGATCCTTTATTACGATTGATACGTACTCTCTTCCTCGGACAGGTCCTCCCCGAGGCACTGCAGCACAGCTCGAAGATCGGACGCGGTGATGTAACCTCGATTATGTTTATCGAACACCTGCGAACAAAGACGAGCAACAAGAATTGAGGATCCTTTTTTCTTAGAGTAGAAAAAACCGAAAGAGGGTCACGGGGGCACAAATCACCGTTCGAGATAGATTCCTTTATTTCGGAGTAAATGGAATATCCGGCCGAGAGAATAGCCATCGATGCTTTTATTTTTTTTTTTCCTTTCTTCTCTTCTTCGCCGAGGAGAAGCTTCTAGGCGTTGATAATCGCGACGATGCGATGTGCGAAAAGGGTTCGCGAGAAAATGCTGCCGCGGGAATAATAACGACTCGCTCTCACGTCTATTATTTATCAGTTCGCGGACGCGGCGAGAAACGACTGGACCTTCCTGAAAATAGAATAGGGATTGATACTGCTCCAGGGAACGGTCTTAAAGGTTTTCCAATCATTCGACCTATCACTGTTTCTTCTTTTTCGATATTCGATGTTAACATTTTCACCCTCGATCATAAACCCTTTAATTATAAAAATATAATTCGTCCTGCGCAGAAAATTCAACTTGTATCGCAATATGTATACGCGCTGCTGGTAAAATTAATTTTCATATATTATTTAAAAGCACTTGTTCGATTCAGAAGAATCATAGTTACCAAAATCCATGCTTTGTAAACTTCACGAACCAGAAAAAATAACGATGCCCCATTCGAAACACGTGTTTATTCTCATGGATTTTAACGAATTTTTACTGTTCAATATGGAAAAGGCATGGAGGGAAGGAGGATTAGTTGAGGGATTTCGTCGGTGCGAAGGATAATTTAATTATCGGAAAGTAACTCACGCCCCGCGTTACAAATTGCACATATTGTTTTACCGCTGTTGCGCCCAGATATCGTTCGGAATTTATTAAATTCGTTCCTCGTAACTCGGTACCGTTCGTTGTTTGATGCGCTTCGTCGTTCGACTCTTTTTTTTCCCCTCTAACGATCGATGAAATTCTACACTTTTACTCGTTACTCGGATATTTTCGCCACTTTCTGTGTTGTTATACCGTCATTTTACACTCGCGCATATATCGCTTTTAATTAATTTATCAAGGTGTTGAAGAAATGCCAGGATCAGAAAATTTTTAAATCAGAAATTTTTAAGCAGTCGCACGCCATCGATAAATATTTCTATCACACGATCGATTTTCCGATAATGGCAAATCGATCAAAAGGACCTCTTATTTATCCTTTTCAACCTACCCTATTTCGAAATCAAAGGAGCGACATTGTAGGTCACTGACTGCGAATCGATTAGTCTTTCATTGCAGCTTAACGGTTGCACGCTTTTTTGTTTCTCCATCGAGTAAGAATCGTTGATCCATTTCCATTTCCGGGAACCAGAGACCCGTTGTCCCGTGGAAGGAAATGGGAAGAGGGAGAAAAGTCACTCGCTAAAGATTCTATTTACCGTGTAAACGATGTCAACGAAGGATTAATACAGCATTGTCGTTCGAGTGTAGGAAATCGCAATCAGCTAACTATTAACGCAATTACTAAATCATTTGGTTCCCTAACTGTCCCATTGTTTGATCAAGCGAGCGTCGACATTTGACAGCCGTTGATAATTAGCACCATTCTCGTTAGCATCATTGAAATTATATTTTGCTATTGTTCCATTATGGTATAAATTATTTCTCATGAGATAAGTGAACGATGATCAAAGTTCACTGATTTAGAAATATTATGTCAGGTTTTTTCCCAAGAGAACGATTCAAGTGTGGTAAAAAGTAAATAAAAAAGTTAATTTTTCCCTGCACGAGAGATATACTGTCGTTTTTCAGGTGACCGACGTGAAACGATGCAATTAAAAAACAAAAAAGTTTTCATTAGCTTCGACATGTCTTTCACTCGAGCAGCGAGTTAACTCGTTTAAAAGGATTAAATTGTTCAGGGGTGACGTGCAACTAAAATTCAAGAGGAAAATATTAACTTTGTTTCGTTTGTAACACGTTCAGCGAACAATCATCGTTTAAACATCGCGTGACTGAAAAATTGTCAATTAAGCGTATATTGCAAAGGTTAAGGACGATTAATTGCGTACACTGTACACGCTCTAGTGTGCTTATTAGACGTCGCTTTTCCAGGGCCAGGGAAACGAGATTAATGGAGAAAAATTTGACATCCTGTCGTATGGAGTTATTTTTTCACTTGCACCTGTTGTGCATCGAAAGTATACAAATAAATTATAATAAGAAGAAAGAAAAATCCTTTAGTCCATTTCCTCTCACGCTCCATCTTTTTACATACGTTAAACATTTATTAAAACGTAGAAATGAATATCGCAGATATTCGCAAAAAGCGAAAGGGGAACCGCGGCTGGAATACCGAAGAAAATAGTTTCATGATTCGGAATGAAATAAACTGCAAGCTGGAAGGAAAAATAGTGAACTCGAGCAAAGTAGAGATTCAAAAATTCAGTCCGCATTCCTGAAGTATCGGAAAGCAAACCAGCCGGGATGCTGCGCGTTCCTTCTATCCCATGAAAGAGGAGAGTAGAATAAATTCTGCTAGCAGGGAGGAAGGTGAAAATACCGTAGTGCAAACATAAATTGCCGATTAGGCTTTCACGGATAACGGAGAGGTTGTTCACGAGTAAAAAAAAAATGCATCGTCGCACGAGGTCACCAATTACCTCTTAATCGACGGAAGTGGCTTTTCAACGAGTTCGCGCGAAAAACAAGAGGCGCAAGTTTTTAAGCGCGCCGTTTTTAATATCGCTAAGTGTATTGCTTGAAAGTCAAGCAGAATAACGGGCTAATTGGTTACCGCGATAAACCATAGACGAAGAATTAGAACGGATCTTAATATTTCGGTTGCCGCCGCGAGGAGGAAAACGCGCCGCGGGAACTCTTAGTCGTATTCTTACGTCGTCCGCCCTCGATTACTTTCGTCACGTCTCGACGCGTTGCTGATGCTCGCGATTATCGTCTTATCGTTCTCGCGGACGTTATCTCCTCGGCTGTAATCCTTTTCTTTCCGGCTCTTTCAGCTCGCGTTCCGTAAGCGATTGGCCGCGCGAGATTTCGACGATTTGTCCCGGATCCTCGTAGACGGCCGCGATAAAACAGCTGCAAACTTTTCATTGGTTCGCGACGTGCTATCTGACTCGACTCGACGGGGTTGAAAACTGCCACGGGATAAACGACACGATTTATTTCGCGAAATCGCGCGGCTGTTTGCGAGAAGGGGGTGAACATCGGTATCGGAGAAGGAACACGCAGCTGGGATAGCTCGTGGTTGGAAAAGATGGTTGAGATTGCAGACGATGTAATATCGCGAAGTGCTACAACAATTTTTAATTTTCCAAGCAACCGGTACTTATTTAATCTTTATTAGAATAGATGGGTTTTCTGGCTGCAGAACATGCAAATTTGCTTTGCAACGTTTAGAAGCTTGATAAGATAATAGAAGATTACTTTTAAACAACCCTTCGAAACATTTACCTACAGATTAAAAAAATACGAGTAACTCTTCGGATAGCCAGATTTTTTCGAAAAAAAAAAAAAAAAATCCTCTTGGTTTTCTCTCTCTCTTTCGAGCGTAATAAATCTTACTAGTCATCCCCTATATCCTCCGTTGCTTTGTCTTGCTCGCGCCTCTCCGCTTACGTTTTTCCCTCCTCTTTTTTTTCCACCACGTTTCCGCTTTTTTTCACCGAGGCTCGACTACAATCCGGCAGCCAGGCCGCGGAGATTAAAATATCGACTGAGAACAGCGCGATACGTCGCGTCTGACCCCAATGCCCGCCTGCTAAACTCTTTAAGCGCTCGTTAGACGATTTAAAGGGATCGAGGCGAAGCGAACAAACGAGCGATGCTTCTCGCGGCGAGAATCGCACGTTACCCTCGAATCGGGACCAGCATCCTCCGGTGATTGCATTTTTGACAATTCATTTCCAGCTGGATGACGGTGGCAGTAAAAGGATATTGGGTACGATTCGAGCTCGAGAAAAGACAGGTGGAATGTTGGAACGTTGAAAACGAATACTCTCTGACGATTGCACATTCGCTAGATTCAGTTTTGCTTCGGCAAAAGAATGGTGACGCTGATACTGTAGTTTATATTCATGGAAGAAGGAGAACTTCCACATCTTCGCTGAAAAATGCATCTATAATTCGGTTTTGATGCAGAACGTTGGAAATGATACATTCTCGATGCCCTTTGTCGCAAGAATATCGTAGCTTCGTTCATTTGTAAAGGAACAATCGGTTCGTTGCGATCAATTTTTCAGTTCGATGGTAATTTCTCGCGATTTAACGAAGTTTCAGATTTAATTCGCAAATCAGATTGTCGCGTTAACGATGTAACTTCCAGCGAACCGATAAAATTAAGAAAAGGAAGAGCGGGAAAGCAGTCTCGACTTTAAATTAAACACACACTATATTGACGTTCCGATAAACATTTTTATCAGAAGCTGCTTCGAACTTTGTTTAAAAATCCTGCGAGCTACCGACGGATTTTCTATAGAGTTTCCGACGAAAAAAGTAGTTTTCTTCAGCAAATTGATTAAGCGAGGGAGAAAGTAATAGTTTGTAGACGACAGGTCTTCAGAATATTGGAGAATGTAACGAAATTTTAGAAATTGTTTGATTTTTCGTTGACTTCTCCACTGCCGCAGTAGAAATATCGACGTATGGTCAGACGTAGGATAATTCAGATTACCAAAGCTTTAATTTTCTTGTCTCTAAAATTAATTTATTCAAAAATTTGCTGAATTATTTACTTGTAGAATATCGATGCGTCCTATTTACACGGTTGACAAATTGATTCGGAGATCAGGATGGTAATACGAGCCTCGTTAACAAACGAGGAGGACGAATACTCCCGGTGAACGTGGTCGAATTAACAATGCAACAATTCCTTGGATGAACGAAATACGACAGGTAAATTGATATCTTTTTTATCATTTCCTCTGCCGTGAATATATGCATGAAGTATCATAAGGAGCACGACGAAGATTTCCTCGATAATCGTGATACCTTCGAGGAAATAGTATAAACGCGAG